TTTGGGGATATAGCATTGATACAACATCCTCCACTGAGACACAATTCCATTATCTGTTGACAAAGGGAAACACAGTGATTTGCTTGCCGATGAGAGTCGTTTGGGTAGTTTAATTACGGTTGCACTTCCCATGTTTTTCAGATAAATTGTGATGCCGGGATTTTCGATGGTTGATATTATCTCAAAACGGTTAATGGTTTCCCCATGGATAACGGTGGTCTTTGGGTCTTCGCAACTTTCGTGGGTGACCGAGATTTTCATGGGTCAGCATTGATGAAATCAGGCTCGTCTAGGGCCCACTTGGCATTTCAAAACTATTTAGTGGAAGCAATGGCTCATCTTTGAACCCATCTGTTTTAAAGGCTGGTTTTTTTTTATGTTCAGTTTGCGAGAGATATTCGCTTAGTTAAGATTTTTCTAGCGTTTTCAAACTTGAATGCCCTTTGCAGAGACTCCACGAGTTATTTTCTCCCGGTGCTCAGTATTACCATCTCTTTCGGTTTAGTGATTTGGTCTACTTAATAGATTTTGCCATAGTTGTCTATTTGGCCTTTATCACGGTTTTGTTTTCTCCTGAATTGTATCTGTATCTGAGCATTGCTTAATGGATTTTGCCTGATTAGGCTTTTTATTCAAAAATTTAAAAAAAAAATGGGCTTTGTAACCATGAATGCTTAGGTTCAAATTTTTGCATCCTTAAGGTATTTATGTTTGATTCTAATACCAATTCCACAAAGGCTAGGTCGTAGGGTAAATCCCTAGCTCCTAGAACTATCCTAGGTGGGGATCAATACCAATAATTTGAAATTAGACCTACACATTAATAAATTGGGTTGGGTCGATTTCATTTAATTCCCAATAAAACCTATCCATTTGCTCACCCCTATGCTCCATGTAGTTTATCCTTTTGTGATAAACTACTTAAACCTCCATTGAGGTTATTAACAATTACTTTAACCTCCTCTAAACTTTGACCTCACCGAAAACCTTCCTTGACATTGGGGATAAATTATACTTACCAATCCCTCCTTAGTTTGAGTGGATGGAACCCACAAATTGGACCCTATTAAATGTTACGGAAAAACCCAAGAAAATATATCCGAATGACACCCAAACTGAAAGTAAAAGTAGAGATAAAGAGAAACAAATGCAGAAAACACATAGATTTATGTAGTTTGGCTTGTAGCCTACGTCTATGGGTGAAAGAGGAACAAAAATCCACTATGAAGATTGAAATAGAGAAGAAGTACAAAGTTGTGCTCTCATAGAGAAAACCCTAAGCCCCAAAATACAGCCAAAACCTCACTTGTCTCTCACAAAACTTAGACTATGTTTACAAGAGAGAAAACACTGAAAATATATAACTCTTTGTATTCGGTTCAGACCTATAAGACGAATATAAATCGGGCCGGTCCATGCCCTACACATCCACCACAAACCATTATGAAAATTTACCTTCGGGTTTTTCTCAAACTAATTTGGAGCAGATTCATGAAGTGAGTCACCACAAAGAATTCAAAGCATAAACATAACATTAAAATATACTTTCCTAATTCAACCATAGTCAAAACCCAAATCTGTCCTATACCTTATAAGAAAGTATACTTTATCCCTACCTCTTAAGGTATCGAATCAAACCCCTCCCAAACCCTATAAGGTTTTGATTTAATTGGTGTCATTTATAGGTGTAATTTAACATTCATTCAAATTTGAGATTCAATATAATAGAATAAAATTCACATGTGACCTGATTTAATTTGATTAATGCCCAAATTGATTTATATATATATAAATTATTTCCACGTATTATATATTTTAATATTCACTAATATCAACTCGATTCAAAATTTTCAATCCTATAATTGAATTCAAATATAAACTTTACTTATTTGATTTAAATTCATTAAATTTGCACCCGGGATGTCTTTTTTTCCAATAGCCTATACTGTTGAGGAATGCCACATTACCATGAGAGTGGATAAATTAGTAATTGCCACCGAATAAGCTTTTCATCAGCAGCCCAGTAATAAGCCCTTAACCTTACAAGGAGCTAAGTTTGAAATAGTCTCTGGTACTAATAGCAGGCAAAGTAGTTACTTCCTATTAGAAGATCAAAGATTGTAGCAAAAGAAATAGAAAAAGAAAAAGATTAAATCAAGGTATGCAATTAATAATCCTCCTCTATAGTTGTTTTCGTGCTTCTATTTTATGGAAATAGCTTGTAATCCATCGGAAATGCAAGAACCGAGCATTGATACCGATAAGCTTAGTTATGAGATCTTCTCTATTTTGGAAAGTAATTTTCTCTTTGGCTACGACGATCAAAAACTCTGGATTCCCAAACAGATCTCTCCAGCCATAGAAACAAAATCCGAAACTATCCTCTCAGGAAAAGCCCTAGCTTACCTAGAACAAGTTCTCAAGACCAAATCCGGAAATCCAAACGCAAGAATAGCAGATTATTTTGACGTTGCCGCTGGTTCGGAGGGATTTTCACGACGATGCTCTTTGCCACCAAGGGTGATAACCAACCCATTTCCCAAGCGAAGGAGATGTGGAAGTTCTTAGCAGAACAGGGGAAGCGTTTTTATCGATCTTCCTCTAGTTCATTCTCCGGGTAGGGTTTTATACGGCGACAAGCTTAGTTATGAGATGATCGACATATATATAGATCGAAGCTTACTGTCACCGGCAACTCCCCTTACCACATGCACCCTTCCACGTGCATGGATTGGTGTCGTTTTCGTTCCAGTTGGAGAATGCCAAGACGTTTGATGTCTTGTCGAAGGTAGACTTCAAAGCCAAGAGGGAGAGACCGTCAGGGGATAGAGAGAAGAGTAGAAAGAGGTCACATGAACGAAAGAAAATGAAAGGGACACGTGTTTTAGGCTCTGTTTCATTTTCATGAGAAAGAAGATGATGAACAGTGTTCTTTTCATTGTTTTCTCTTGATGGGCATTTTTGTCTTTTTGTATGTCACTTAACGGCTGGTTAATGTTGGATACTAGAGATTGTGGCAAAATGAAAGTTTGGGTACTAGATTGTCGCGTGTTAAAGTTCGGGTACTAAATTGATACTCGGCCTAAAGTAGAGGGTACCTATCGAGAATTTTCCCTAATATATAAAATATACACTATTAAGTTTATAAAAAAAAATACAAAAATGATCCAATAATTATTAAAAATGATTATTCCAAAAAAATAAAACGATTGAATAATTAATAAAATAGTTAAATAATCAAATGAAGCTAATAATTTAATTTAAGTTAATTAAAATGTGATAAAAAAATTAAAACCAACTATTTAAATAAAAATTATTTGGATATATATTACATGTATAAAATGTAATTGTCTATGTTAGCATCATCTTTCCATCTTTCTACACTATTGTCTAAACTTATATATATATATATATATATATATATATATAAGTTTTTAACATTATCTATAATTCTATACTCTCACAAAATACTCAATTATCTAATACTTCTTAAAATATCCCCACCCTCCTAAAATACTCAAATCAAACTTACCATACAAGTAACGAATCACAGATAAAATAATAGTTGCCATGTACTTAGGATTTTGCCATGCCTACTACATAAGTTAAAAAAAAGAAAAAAAGCATAAATTGTTAATTGCAAATTAAACCTGCTTTAATTTTTTAAATTAAATAAAAAATCAAAATCAAATTTATCATATAAACATAAATTATGGTCTCAAATGAAATAATAAATGGTGTAGGTCATTCTTCTAGATAAAATATGATAAGTCTTTTAAATCGAATAAAAATCTATAAAAATAAAATAAAAACCTAACCTAAATTTTTAATATAAAATATCTAAAAAATTAAAATAATTCAGATCATGGACTCGTAGTTGCTACGTGGGTTATGCCTGATTATTGAATGAATAGGACGGTTCAGCCCCCGGTTGATTTTAGCATCTCCGGCAGTAATTGGTTTAGTCCTTCGGTTGGACTTTCGTCCGGACACGGGCATAATCAATCATTAAAAAAAATTGAAAAATGGTAGAACATATGTGAGTCTGCATCATCAAGATCATTAATTGCCATATAAGGTTTTCATGATTTTCGACGTGGTGGATGTTCAAAGGGAGTCCTCACACCTGGCGCCTCTCAGGCGCCTTACACGCACATCCTACCACGTATCGGGAATATCTTTCGTATTTAATAATTATTTTTCACGGGAGATGCTTCTGAAGCACGGTGGATGTGCCGGCGCTCATGTGTGAGGAGCAGACCCCGCTTCCTTCAAGAACATCACACTTGATGTGTCCCACCAAAAAGAGGATCCACACCAAAATCAGCTTCATCAGGACCATCTGATTCAAAAATCATTTTGGGAATTTTCAAAGAATTCAAATAGAATTTTACTATTTTTTCTCTAGACTAATCATCAAGATCGGGCTATCGAATTTTTTTCATCTATTTGAAAATCTTGATAAAATAGCTCAGAATAATAATGTAAAAATATTATGGTGAAATAGGACATATTCGATGGTGGGTTGTGATAAATCTTGATCTAGGACAGATTAATAATCTGTGAAAACCAATCATGTACCTACGATCTACTTTAGCTGCTAATTAAGTAGGCCCCGCTGATAATACACTGAATCATTGATGCATGAGTTGGGCGGGTTCTTTAGTTGGTGGTTAACTGGTTACATGTGACACCTGCAACCGTGGTTACAGGAAACTGGGACTCCTTGTTATGTGTCTCCATGAAAGCTACTCTGCAACTGCAACTGCGAATATAAAAATACACTGTCGTTCCAACAAACACGTAGACCAACCAGATTATGCCCTGCTTCTTCACCTAAAGCATCAGTAGCTCTGCTGTCATCATCAATTATCCAATCTCACTTGCTTCAACCACAAGAATCCAATAAAACAAAGCCAAAGCAACCACCACTACCAACTCTGCTCTCTTCTTCCTAAAGCCACCTTCTATTATCTCACCAGTTTTGATCCACTCTAAATATAAAGCCACATCCACCCCTTAAGTTCAAAACTCAGGAGACCCAATCTCCTGAACCAATTTCTCAATTAATCTCCAGCTTTCTTCTTCTTCTTCTTCTTCTTCTTCTTCTTCTTCTTCTTCTTCTTCTTCTTCTTCTTCTTCAAACTGAAATATATAATCAAGATGAGGTCCAAAACCCAGTCGCCTTTCAACGTTAAGCTCCTCTTGATTGGTTTCTTCATTGTTTTTCTCCTCCTTTATGTACTAAGATCATCATCTTCGTCCAACCAACAAGCTCCCACAGCACAGCCGGAATCCTCCTCGAAGGAAGAAGTCTCATCATCATCAACCTCCTCCTGCCCGCCTCCTCCCTCCACACCAACCTGCGCCAACATCCCAGCCTCACTAGCCCAGGCTCTCATACACTACTCCACCTCAAACATCACCCCGCAGCAAACCCTGAGAGAGATCTCCGTCACATCCCGAATCTTAGAGAAGAAATCTCCCTGCAAATTCTTGGTCTTCGGCCTGGGCCACGACAGCCTCATGTGGAGCGCGCTCAACCATGGCGGTCGCACGGTTTTCCTGGAAGAAGACAAGGCATGGATCGAGCAAATCAAGCAGCGGTTCTCCGGCTTAGAATCGTACCATGTGGTGTATGATACCAAGGTGAGAGAAGCAGATGAACTGATGGAGGTGGGGCAAGGAGAAGACTGCACGGCGGTGGGTGACCCAAGATTTTCCAAGTGCAGGCTCGCGTTGAAGGGTATCCCAGATGAGATTTTCGAGACAGAGTGGGACTTGATCATGGTGGATGCGCCGACGGGATATATCGACGATGCGCCGGGGAGGATGAATGCTATCTACACAGCGGGGTTGATGGCTAGGAACAGGGAGGAGGGAGAGACGGATGTGTTTGTGCATGACGTGGATAGGGTGGTGGAGGACAAATTCTCTAAGGCTTTTCTGTGTGAAGGGTACATGAGGGAACAGGAAGGAAGGTTGAGGCACTTCACCATTCCAAGCCACAGAGCCAACCCTGGTAGGCCCTTCTGCCCTCCTTAGCCTCGCCTCGCCTCGCCTCACAATTTTTTAATTTCCTCTCTCTTTTTCATGGTTGGGCAAATGGGCCGGCCCATCATTTGAAGATAGATACCTGCTCCTTGGCTCCTTCCTTTCTTTCTTTTTTTATTTTTTATTTGGTTATCTTATTGTGACGATGATTCGTACCTGTAGTGGATTTTTTTTTGGTTAATTTCCATGAGCGAAATTATAGAAACGATTGACTCGGTGATTCATAGTATTCAATCCTATCGGATTCGGGTTTTTTATCGGATTTGATTTTTAATGATAGAATCGATCCAATGAAATAGGATGCAGCTGGATTCCATAATTCAACTAACATTTATAACATGAGGTGTGGATAGTTCGGATCGGAATAGCAGGAATGAAAGGGTTAAACTTATAACAATAGGGGAATACGCCCCCAGAAAACTTATAACAATAGACACCTTACCAGTTACCAGATAGAAACGAGAAAACTTTGGCCGTATAAAGAGAATTTTTGTTGTTTTGGAAGGCGTATAAAAAGAATTTGAAACCATTTGGGCTTATACCGAAATCATATTTTGGTTGGACATATTTAACTTAAATATTTATTTATATTGTTCTTTGCATTGGGATTGTGGATTTTTTTTTTTTTTATTTCATGGTCCCCCCTCAGCAGGGCTTAAGTTGTTTTGGGGTGTTTGTCAATTCAAAAACAAAAACAATATAAATTTATTGATGTGACAATTATTTTTGTTTTAATAATAAAAACATTTACATTGGATAATACCCCTTGTGCATTTAAAAGTTAATTATAATAAAACCATTACTTCTTGTGCATTTAAATTAAATTAGATGCTTCAATCAGGTTCAATTTGAACTCAATGTTAATTGAGTTTGAAATCTTAGGGTAAGTTGGATAAATTATTTGAATTTATTTTAACCAATTAAATGCTCGGCTTGAAAGTTCACATGCCTAGCTTGAAATAAAAATAGATTTGGAATCAAACTCAAATATAAGAAAATTGAAAGCTTACAAGGAGTTGTATTGTCTTGCGATCGGTTTTTAAAATCGCACCTGACTTGGGAACTATTCTGGGTGATCGATGGTTCGACCGCCCACAGTAATTTATTGACGAAATCAACGGTTTTTGGGCAAAAGATGGTTTTGGGTGAAATAAAACCAATCAAGTGACCAATTATTGGTTTTTTGGTCCGACCATCCAATCTAGTCCGGTTTTAAAAATACTGGTCCAAACTGTCAGACTTGGACCGTCATTTTTTTTTCCCATGGAAATGATGTATGGTGATATGTGACGCTCTCGAATTCAGGTCCATCATGACTAGGGGCGCTCACGGTTCGGTTAACCAAACCATGGGTTTTTTTTAACCGAACCAACTTGATCAGTTTTTTTTAAATATGAACCGAAACCAAACCGATGTAACTGGTTAACCACTGTTCGATTTTTCTTTTTCTTTTTTGCACTCAAAATTAAGAAATAAAGGGGAAAAAATACTTGAACAAGCATGGCAGAGGGGCGAGCCGACAAGGGCGAAGTGGTGGCCAATGGTTTGCCGGTGCCAAACTAGTTGGTGGTTGTTGTCACCTAAAGTGAAAGCATGAGAAGTGGCGGAGCTGCGAAGATGAGAGATGAGAGAGACAGAGATAGAACCTGGGAGGTGGCGGTCTTGGTGGAGTTGAGGCGGCGACCGACGTCTTGGTTGGTTGTTGTAGCTAGTATTGGCTAAACTGGCTTGGTGCTTGTCGGCGAGGCGGTGACCGATGTTGCACTGTTGTTGCATGCTTGTCTGCTTGATGGTTGGTGCAGCAGAGACTAAGATGGCAGGCAACAAAGACTTAGAGAAAGAAAGAGACACAGGACAAAATTGGGGACGACTGGCGCCAGAGGAAAAACTGGGGATTGGGGAAGACAAAGAGACAAGACTAAGAGAGTGAGAAAGGGGAAACTGGGAAACTGGGAAAGGGGAAAACTGAAAAGGTGGACAGGCCACAAGCGTGCGCCCAAGTTTATTCGATTTTAAAAAATAAAAATAAAAATATAATATATAATATATTATTGCATATATACCGATCAATTTGATTAACCGTCATTTTTTTTTACAAGATTAACCGAAACCGAACCAAAATTTTTGATTTTATTAAGAATATCGAACCAAAACTGAACCAACCAATTTGGTTAACCAATTTTTTTGTTCAGTTTCGATCAATTTTTTTGGTCAATTCGGTTTTCAATTTTTTTTTTCTCACCCCTAATCAAGACATACGGAATTATGGATATGAGGACACTAATGCATTTATACATATGGATGGAAGCTTGAACAAATAAACAAGTAAAACATAAGCTCCAACAACAAGATAAACTCACATTTTGGACCAAAGGAGATTCTAAGTTACTACCGCGAGCCTCAAGAAAAGTCAAGCATCAGTCGAATATCATCAATCTAAATATGAGGGGTGTTTATTGTTTGGTTCAAACAGCAAAACCAAATTGAATCAAGCCAAATTTCTGGTTTAGTTTGGTTTATATCTAAAAATGGTTTGATTTGGTTTCCTATTTTGCTAAATTGTGATTTGTGGTTTCTTTTAAATAGATAGATAGATATAATGTAATAATAATATATACAAAAGTTAGAATTTGAATCAAAATGTCGTGAAATTGGAACTAGAACCGGAATCAGAATCTCCTATTCCCCGACTGTTTGACTTAAGCAAGAATCGGAATCAGAATCCATAAGATATACACAACTCCCAAGAAAGATTGGCATCGATTAACGAAAAATAGGATTGGGGTGGGGGGGGGGGTGAAGTCACTTGTCTTTTTTAATGGCTGGCTAGAATGAGATTCCCACAATTCCCAAGGGGAAGCTGGAATGCCGATTCCCTCACATAGTAGGGAAATGCCATTTTCACTCAATCAAAATGGCTAGAATCAAAATAGACCATTCCATACCCCTATGTAAACAAGGATGTAACAAATCATGGTTAGTTGACCCAATTATCAATCCAAATTAACAGTCTATTTGTGGTTAATAGAAATTTTTAACAAAAGTATCATGCATAGAGCCATCAACCATCAAATTGGAATATACCTAATTTCATATCACACTTCACAATTAATATACACAATCAGATTCAAATCCAAAAGTTGAGAATTCAAGGATTGTAAACATGTTGTGAGCCCTGTGGGTCGCTGCTGAAATTAGCACACAAAATTATGCTTTAGTTGAATTAGATCAAGACATTTTTATTTGATTGCATGCTCCAACTCCAAAATTTAGAATAGGAATTACATATTCTATGCATTCTTACTTTGAATCAGAACTATATGTAGCCCCTTTTGAGGCCTAGCTCCATTTCTTAAAAGAGAAATGAGCCAAACAAAACTTAACCCACAGACGGTTGCCAATATACATCGAAAGAGGAGAAAAAGAGAGAACAAAAAACAAAAGGTGGAGACAGGAGAGAAGTCACAATTCACACAGAATCAGGTGAGATACAACTATATATACAACATACAACTCACAAGAGCGAAAAGGAATCAGTGGTAGAACAATGCCGAGAATCCATTACGCTAAAACTGATCCTTGAATTGAATCTGAAGCTGATCTACCTGGATATGGTTGAAAGCTTCACCTTCTCGAGAGCTCGAGAAATCCCATGGATCATGAACTCCTGTGATGAGATAAAATCCGGCGTTGTGATTTTGATCCCATTAATGGACACAGTCCCTGTAAAGCTAACTTCAGATGTTATCTGTAGATCTTCATCAGGTAGCAGCGTCTTGAGAGACGCTTTCTCCGGCAGTAGAGACAATTCTCTGTATGTATATCTCTGAGGCAATATGTGGAGCCTCACAATCGTTTCCAGCAACGGTGATGGCGATCCAACATAAGCCAAATCGGGTGGAGCAAAGATTGTCACGGAACTCAAATCCACATTGTCTCGCAGAATCCCATCAAGAACTCCATGCAATCCAACCGCAAAAGAAATAAACCCATTTGAGCTCAGCAATCTGAGGATTCGACTCCATGGCACCCTGTTTCTCGCTTCTGATGCATCCGCAACTAGACTGCCGTTGGAATCACAGATGGGTGATCGGATGAAATCCCAGTCGGGCTCGATTTCACGCGGATCGAACGAAGTGAAAGGCCCAGGAATTCCATGAATCGAGTAGGGGCCTTCAACGAAGATATCCGGATGAGAGATCAAGACGTGATTGATTTCGACCTTCCTTTCTTGTCCGTCAATCTTCGTGATGGCCAAGTTCTTTCCAGGAAGAAGGGTCGGAATGCATCTGCCCTGAGGTTTCTTAGAAAGGTCTTCGAGGGAAAGCTTCGACGGTGACGTGTGATAATGGAGAAGATCTTTCATCAGCCATGGAGGAAGAGAGACGTTGGAGATATCGTGATCTTGGATGGCGAAGATGGTGGATTCTGAAGATGGGAGAACTTCTTCAGGGGAAATCAGAAGAATGGTAGCCATGAAATTGAATCCCTCCCTTCGAAGAGCTCGAGAGGCGTTCAAACTCAGAGATAGTTTGTGCAAGTTGAGTGAATCTGATCCCACAGAGTGTGGGATTTGGGCTTTGGTGTCAGGGTGATAAGATGTGGAGATTGCTGTAACAGCGAGAATTACAGAGATGGTGGCATAGATTGGAGCATGCCACCAATGCGAGCAAGAACCTGCCATTATTGCAAGAGAGAGAAAGAGATTTTCCAGAGCGAACAGGGGAAGAAGGAAAGGGTTTCTTGGTCTTGAAAATGGAGGGAAACTGCCAGCAGACCGTTGGAAAATTTATGGAAAAACCGAGTCGCCCGACTTACCGATTGACTTCTCAACGAAAACAAGTACATCATCTGCAATGTACTCTACGTCTTAAGTCCATAATCAACGAACTGTAATGATTCTATCAGAGGATTGGGCTACTGGGATTGAATAAAACACGTTCTATTGTATTCTCTTGAAGCACCGAATCAAGAAGTTAAAAATTGATTTCTGTTTCTGGGACAGCAACTTGGGCCGGGCAAAATGTTCCCGAACCCTGGCCCAAAATAATGCAGTATGTGTGAAATATTTTTATTATAGCTTCACCAAATGACAATGAGGACTGAGGAGTGAGGAATTACAAACATCTCGCACCAGGATCCGTAACTAATTTCTTTATTTATATTGACAAACAAAGATATGCCGGGCATGATTGATCCTTACATGTCTCGTCCAACCAAACCCGGCTGATATTTCAACCGGGCCATGACTAGACTTATTCATGGGCGGGGTAGCTCGATGGCCCAGCCTGATATAAATCGGGTTTGATAGGATTTCAGGCCTACAGACTCATGCTCGGGCCTAAAATATCAGGACCAACCTTCTTCAGGTCAGGCTCGAGCTTTTTTAAAAAAGCCCGATTTGATAATGTATTATATAATAAAAAAACACATATAATATGTTTTTCTTTATTTTTCTTATTTTTTTAAGTAATAATGAGATCTTTCATTATTTTTTAGATTTTAAGGTCTTTTAATAAAAATAAAATAGTTTTTAATTGAATTAAAAAGGAAAAAAAATCTTTTTTCCAAATTTCTGGTTGGGCCCAAGCTCAGGCCTAAACTTTGGGCTTTATAAGAGGTTTGGGCTCGGGCCTGAACATATTCTGTTAATATAGAGACAAAGCCTAGCCCATGACCCTTGCTAAGAGGAGTTACAACCATCTCTCTCTAATAAGTTGTCATATTGAAACTTGATCATTTTTTTGGGGGGGCGGGTCAGATTGCCACCCCTACATGCCCAAGAAAACATGGTTTTTAAAATTGAACCGGTGATCGAACCGGTTAGGGGTCCGATTGCCGATTTGAACAGTCCAACCGTTCGACCTGAACGGCCAGTCCGTTCTAACGAAAAAATAAAAAAATTGGAAAGCGATCAAAACCATTCGAACGGTTTATCGGTCGGTTCAGCGGTTTGTTGACCAAAATCAATGATTTTAGGAAAAAAAGCGGTTTTGGAGGAAAACGGAACTGATCATCCCGATTTTTCCAGTCCGACCGTCCGATCCGATCCGGTTCTGAAAACAATGCCAAGAAACATTCCCAATAGCCAAAGTTTTCTTGACAACCGCTCAATCTCTCACTTAGCATTTATGGTTGGTGTAAGGCATTAGCATTGGGTCCACAACCTTCTATCTAGCCATTGCATTTAGCAAATTTTCCTACATGCTAGTTCCTCTTGCTAGTTTTAAATGCCAAAAAGGAATCTTGAAACAATGTAACCAATAAGTTACATGGACACTTAAGCCCCGATTGCTTTTTTATAAGTTACTTACCCAAGTAAATGCACTTACTTGGGTAAGTTTTTTCCTAGGAAATACTTATCGGGTAAGTGCATTTACCCATGTTCTTTTATTTTTCACGTAAATAAGGTAATGGCCATTTTAACCATAAAAGTTCATTATTAAAAGGGACATTTTTGTCCCATTCAAGTGTTGGCAACTTCCCCCTAAGTGGGAAGTTATTTACCCACCTATGAGATGGGTATCACTTACCTTGGGAAAATAAACTTTCCCTAGTCTCCACGTAAATATGAAAAAAAAAACATGGAATTCTTGGTCAATGGAAACCAAAATCGCATTCACCAACTCCCCCCTCTCAAAATCCGGAAAAAAAAGAACGCTCCCTAAGGGGTATTCTACAACATGAATGTTTCCTTTTTATTTATTTTTGAAACATTACATAAAACACATGATCTTGAACTCTGTTTTTGTTTTGAAATGCAAAAACAAATTGGTTTTGTTTCAAAAAACAATAGCTATTTTTGGAATCAGCAAAAATATATTTTTTTAAACAAAACAATTTTTATAGTATAGAAAATGAGGGAAAAAAGAGTCACAATTGCTTATTTAAGTGCTTATCAGAGAAAAAGACCACTAAATGCCCAATATGAAAATAAGCACTTGAAAAAAGCTGGGTGCCAAATGCAATAAATGCATAGTCGAATAAGCACTTGTTTTTAATATAAACACTCCCAAACATAACCTTACTCGTGAAATTTCTTTTGAGGTTTGAGATAATGTTAGGTAATTCTTAGTAATATGGATTTATTAGTTAAACAAATTTTCTAAAATATCTCTTGTCATTTGTACTTGACCAATGCCTTGTTTTATTTGTCTTGTTGTCATTTGTTTCTCTTTTGAGTAGGTCAATATGTCATCCCGACGCATGTAAGAGATTTGACACTTTAAAACTCATTCCCTATGTTTTATATATACATAACTACAACTATTTAGTAATAGTTTGTGACGAGGGCAGATTTGGCCCTCCATTGAAATTGTGACACGTGGCACCAGGTGACAATTAGGTAAATACCCAGGCAACAATTTACCAAGTTGGTGTCCTCCCGGGCACCGGTCTGGCTAACCTGGCGCGACCTGCACGCGGCCTACGGGCGGCCTGCACGCGGCCTAGCGCGACCTGCGCGTGGCCTACGCACGACCTGGCG